TAATCAATTCATTTTCAATACAAATGAGCTGGTTTTTCCTGCACAATCAGTGTGCACATTACAAACATATTTTCTCTTCATTTCTTATATGGTATCAGAGCCTTGAACTATGGCTGATAATCAAAGTGCCACAGCAGAAACAACGAACCAGAATGCCAACATTGAACAAAGTTCAAATGCTAATCCAATGACAAACGTCCACCTTAATGATCCTACCAATCCCAGCAGCCCCTACTTCATTGGTGGAAATGATAACTCAGGAGCCATACTTGTCACTCATGTTCTTTACAACACGAATTATTATGCGTGGGCAAGATCGATTAAGAGAGCACTTAGAATCAAAAATAAACTGGGCTTCATCGACGGAAGCCTATCTGAACCAGGAGAATCCAGCACCTTTCTGATGGAGCATTGGCTGAGGTGCAATGACATTGTCATCGCCTGGTTGCAAAACACTATATCTACTAACATTAAGCCTCGAACACTCCATGCTGATACAGCCCATGAACTCTGGTTAGACCTAGAACATCAACTTGGACAGCAAAATGCCCCACGAATATATGAGGTAAAGCAGTCCATTGCTACTCTGATGCATGAGGAAAATACTGTGAGTATTTACTTTTCAAAGTATAAAACACTTCTTGATGAATTAATGAACTATGAGGCTATTCCAAACTACATCTGTGGAGGTTTTAAGTCAGTCATTGAGAATCAGCAGAGGGACTGGGTAATAAGATTCTTAATGGGACTGAATGACTCATATAAGGTAATCAAGGCTCAGATCCTCTTAGTCAAACCTTTTCCTACTTTAAATGAGGTCTACTCTATAATTCAACAAGAGGAGAAAAGGAGGCAGATTTCAGTAAACGTCTCTACCCCAGACTCCATGGTGTTTGCAACCAGAGNCTTTCCCTTCTTTTAATGAGGTTTACTCCATAATTCAGCAAGAGTAGATAAGGAGGCAGATCTTAGTAAACGTCTCTACTCCTGACTCCATGGTGTTTGCAACCAGAGGAAACACTTACAATTCGACAAGACAGGGACAGAGAAAATATTACTGCACTTTCTGCAAAATGGCTGGACATTCACTAGAAAGGTGCACTAAGGGAAACCCCAACAAATCATTTTGCAACCACTGCCACATGACAGGCCATTCGGTGGATAAGTGCTACAAGGTTCTTGGATACCCTCTTGGACATATGCTGTATGGAAAGGGAAATGCCTTGGCTAACCTAGTCTCTTTGTAAGGACAAGGAGATGCTGAAAGCAGCCAAGCAACATTCACTCAGGAGCAGCATGCTCAGATTCTGGCTCTACTACAGTCACAAAACAACAAAGGACTCACCAACACCACTCTTTCAGATACACAAACTTCCAAACTTTCTGGTATTTTATCTTGCTTATCCACCCATGGTGCCAAAACTAGTAAGAATCTGAACATACCATGGGTGATTGACACAGGTGCAACCTCGTTTTGTAATAGCCTTCCAACTAAAGTGGCTTACTCAATCTTACTTCCTAATGGAGATGTAGCTAATGTCACGTACACAGGGACCGTCAAGGTCACAGAAAAATTGATCCTCAACAATGTTCTTTGTGTGCCAACCTTCACATTCAACCTTATATCTGTTAGAATATTAACCAAAATGTTAAACTGTTGCTTAATATTCTTTTATGAAAAATGCCTTGTGCAGACCTTTCGACCACGAAAATGACTGGAATGGGTAAAATGAAGCAAGGACTATATCATCTGGTGAAGTCTCAAGTACCCTCTACTGCCTTAACAGAAGCCTCCTCTTTCCTCTCAAACAGATCCCCTGCCTCTGCAGCCATTTCAAGTAGCAGCAAAAGCTTTGATCTCTGGCATTATAGGCTGGGGCATCCCTCCTACTCTAGATTAGATTTGTTAAAAGTTGATCACGATCCTAAGCTTGTTAGAGAACCATGTCTTATATGTCCTTTAGCTAAAATGCATAAGTTACCATTTTCCATCGGTCATCATGAATCCAAAAACGTTTTTGATCTTATTCACTGTGACCTTTGGGGTCCTTGCACTAAAATCAGTTACGATGGATCCAAGTATTTCCTTTCCATAGTCAATGATTTTAGTCGATGCACTTGAGTTTACATGTTAAAAGCAAAATCAGACGCCACTACAGCTTTGCAAGGTTTTTGTGCCCTCGTTAACACCCAATTTCAAACTCAGGTTAAGGTAATTAGGACAGACAATGGAGGGGAATTTGAAATGAAAGAATACTATCATAAAAATGGGTTTAACCACCAGAAAATGTGTGTCGAGACACCACAACAAAATGCCATAGTGGAGAGAAAACATCAGCATATTCTTACGTTGCAAGAGCCTTGAGAATTCAGAGCTCAATCCCTATGAAATATTGGAATGACTGTGTCCTTACAGCAGTCTATCTAATAAATAGGACCCCTTCACCATTGCTCAAGAACAGGACTCCTTTTGAGCTATTATTCAAACACAAGCTAGACTACCTACACCTTAGAACTTTTGGATGTCTTGCTTTTGCCACAACACTTGCAAACCACAGAACTAAGTACGAGCCTAGAGCAAGAAAATGCATATTTCTGGGGTATCCTTTTGGGATAAAAGGATACAAACTCCTTGAGCTTGAATCTAAAAAGATCTTCATCTNCACCAGAAAACGTGTGTCGAGACACGACAACAAAACGCCATAGTGGAGAGAAAACATCAGCATATCCTTAACGTTGCAAGAGCCTTGAGAATTCAGAGCTCAATCCCTATGAAATATTGGAATGACTGTGTCCTTACAGCAGTCTATCTAATAAATAGGACCCCTTCACCATTGCTCAAGAACAGGACTCCTTTTAAGCTATTATTCAAACACAAGCCAGACTACCTACACCTTAGAACTTTTGGATGTCTTGCTTTTGCCACAACACTTGCAAACCACAGAACTAAGTTTGAGCCTAGAGCAAGAAAATGCATATTTCTGGGGTATCCTTTTGGGATAAAAGGATACAAACTCCTTGACGAACTTAGATTTTTCTAGAAGTAGACCAGAAATGTCATGTTTTATGAGGATCAATTTCCTTACAAGGACTGTAGTGCGTCTGAAAATAATGACATGAAATCATCACCTATTCCAAATATCTCTGAATCAGAAAATCATAGTCATTCTTCCCCTGTTGAAGTCTTTGATCAAATAATATAGAATAGAATCATTCATTCCTCTCCTATTACTGATGAATTGATAACTGATAGAGCTTATCATAAAAGTAGTGATTTGATCCATGAATCAAACAATCATTCTACAGAGTTATTTTTGCCAATTAACTCCCAAGAACCTCAAGAATCCCCTGATAACACCATTGAAGATCATCATCCAACACGAAGATCATCAAGAGTTAAGAAGACACCTGCCTATCTTAAGGAATATATCTGTTAGCAAGCATCATTTCACCCATCTCAGGAGTTGACAAGGAACAAAGGTCTTCGTATTGCAGGTAAGTTTTTCCCTCTAAGTGCCACTATATCAAACCAAAAATTGTCAGATAAACACAAAGCTTTCATAACCTCCATAACCACACATACTAAACCTAGCACATACCAAGAAGCGCTCGCTTCGACTGATTGGCGTGAAGCCATGAATAATGAAATTGCTGCCTTAGAAGTGAATGATACTTGGGTTGTTACAGATCTCTCTCCTAACAAAAGAACTATTGGCTGCAAATGTGTATTTAAAATAAAATATCAGGCTGACGGGAGTGTTGAAAGGTACAAATCTAGGCTCGTAGCAAAGGGCTATACACAGTAAGAAGGCTTGGACTACCATGAAACCTTTACACCTGTGGCGAAGATGGTTACAGTCAGGAGTTTACTTGCTGTTGTAGCCATTAAGGGGTGGCATTTACACCAATTTGATGCAAATAATGTGTTTCTACATGGAGATTTAGATGAGGAAGTGTACATGGATATGCCTCCTAATCATCCGGATGTAGGGAAGTTAAAAGTATGTAAGCTATTGAAAAGTATATATGGGTCAAAACAAGCATCTAAACAGTGGTATTCCAAACTTTCAACCTTCATTGTTGAGCAAGATTTC